TTTGTGATTGATATCTGATATTGTTTAAGAATGAAAAAATAATCTCTCTTTTATTTTCGTTATGTTGTAGTGTTTCGTTGGACTATATTTTTAAGTTTACACTGTTCGTAGTCATGGTCAGTGAGCAGTGCTGTGGTTGTGCGCGATACCGAGTTTGTGTTATTCTCTGATTTTTTTTAGCGAAATCAGATCGCTGCGCACATGGGAAGAATAACAGGCAAAATAATTACAGAAGGTTTTCTCGAGTAAGGTAAGTATTTTAATTTTTAATGAATTATATAATGCTTATTTAATAATTGAAATTTATATGTTAATTAGGTTATACAGGGTGTCCTGTACGCACGACATATTAAAAATAAGAATTTTTGGCATATTTGAAGATGATTTGTTAGTTGCTCTGTAGAATTGAAGCTCCATGTACAATGCAAAGCAATCCGTACTGCTACCGAACGGTGTCATATTTTCTGCATCCTGTTTTGACACTCACCATGTGAGGTCCATAGTTCTCTGTCACGATTTAGAAAGCTTAATTGGTTTATTCGTTACGTACTTGATATGGAGAAGCCAGTTAAAAGGATCATCAGTTGTGACCTCAAGATAATTCTTTGAGCAACTTCAGTGGGGTATCGTTTTTTGTTTGTGCTATTTCGCAAACCATTGCAGGAATTGAACTACTAAGTGCTCGGTATAAATGTTTGATGAGTAGAAAGCGTTACCTTTGATGGAACATCACCGCATTCTTATTGAATTTAACTTTTTAAATGGGAAAGACAACGTATATTGTGCGAATTTAATCTAGGATATTATAGAAATACAACGCTGCAATTAAGTTCTTGATATCAGATTCGTGAAGGAGATAATAACTTGGAAAAGAAGTGCCTGTTTCCTTTTATATGATTTAGTTACCCTATAATATCTACTTGTTTATCTTCTGACGTGACAGGTGAAGATCGTGTAGAAACCACACAGGACAAGGGTAAAATGAACACTTTATTAACTCTTTAAAATTCAGAATGAGTCGACTTCATGCTAACACACTACGCCTCACTCGGACGGTAACTCAAATAACAAGAACTAAACTAAAAGTTCGACGATATTAACAAGCAGTAGAATTACAAGGCTCGGATAATCCTGTTACCTAAGACCGCGTCGAAATCTAGTGGCACCACAGTAATAGCTGTTACGCCACTTTTACCAGCAATAAATGCAGAATCAGAAGCTCCCGCTACAAAAGTACAGGGCTTACCCAAACTTTCTAACTTTCCATTCTAGAACTCAGTGTTTAAACCTTTTCTCCTCAAGGTAGAATTTGCATTACTTCACGCCCGCTACCAAATTTAAATGTTCTGGCATTGACAATTAGAGGAATGAAGGCTTATAAGAAAGAAAATAAACTTAAATTAACAGGTTATTGAAATTAAATACAAATCCCTACAACCTTTTAAGTTAATACCTTAACCAATAGCTCAACACAAGCCGTTTAGAACGGTTTAGTGATTAACGAAAGTTGGCTTCTAACTTGAAACTAAAAATATATGTTCTCTTCTCGAGTGGCCTACGTCTTACGTGTTCTTCCCTTTTCTTCTGAGTGTGATATCATTTACCACTTGGTGTATTTTAAACAACACTCTGAAGCATGAGATGGCTAAATGGCCAGTTTTCTGATGAATACTTTCAAGAAAGTAATGAAATGGAAAAAAATGAACGAGAAATGGCGCAATGAGCATTAGAATACTGCAATAAACAAAGCAAAAGCTACTGCAATTAGAGCTACTTTCCAGAAATGTTTGCAGTGTCGTATGTGTCGGTTAACCTTAGAAAGAACTGACATTTGATTGCATAATTTAAAAGAAAATGACATTTATAAAGCACAAACTGAAGACGATCCTACTTCACAGCATAAGTTCAACAAGAAAGTGAGAACGTGAATCCCACATTCTGATAATCGCAAATAAATTTGCATTTCTTTGAATAATATATTTTTTATGCTAGTAAGAAAATCAGCAAATGAAACCAGAAATACTGGAATGGCTTAAACTGGTCGTATATCTCAATAAAATAACTGGCTACGCGAAGACTGACAAATAGTACGTTGCATAAAACTTCTTTTTACACTAGCAAGGAATATATCATTTTGTTCTTGATTATTCAGTGCCACGCTGGAAAACCTCGAATAATAAAGTAATACAGAACTAGCAATTCATTTATTTAAGTTCCATTAATCATTATCTAAGTAACGAGTGAAAATATTAGAACATTAACTGCTACGTTCAAATGTTTTCTTTTTCCTTTCTATTTTTTTTCTCTTAACTTTCTAAGAAATTTGTCGTTTAGTAACTTCCCTATAATTCGCAAAGTTCTGCGGGATATCTTACATTGATACGACTGTCAGATCTGGATTACGCTCATGTAAGAATTTAGTTTGCTATGTTTTCACAATAATGTATCTCATCATTAAAATTCTCATATTTTGAAGATCCTACTAATTTGATTCAATTATCAAGCTGGAAACACCAATCCCCAATCAACCATAATCGTGCATGTCGTTGAAACACATTGTATAATGTTTTATTGTAATCAGTTTGCACTGTATTATAGTAAAAACAGAGCATCTAGCTTCATCAAAAGGCCCAGCCTGAATCAAACTAAAAAATTTAACAATAGAAAGCATAAATAAATTTGATTACATTTATTCAGTTATCTCTATTAAATTTTCTGATGCGTTCTCAGGCTTATAAAAGCGTTATGAGAAGAACGCAGCCCACAAAATTAGGTAATTTCTGAAAAAGAATTATTATAATGGTTTTAAACTTGATAATTTAAGAAGATCTCTTCTTTGACGACATAGGATTAGAGTAAATCAGAACTTAAATGACGAATTAAATATTGTACTAATGGTCTTAAAATGAAAATTAATTATGGTCATTATTATAATTAAAACGTTCCATCGAATTTCTGTAAGCCATTTTTTAAGTATCCATCTTTAGTCCACTATCATCTCTTACAATATTCAACATCTTCAGATTCAAAAAGAGGGATGTTGCCTTTTATCCCATGCAAACAAATATTCTATAGATTTTAAATGTGTTGTTGCTATGCATTAATTTTCACTAGAAAAAGAAGAATAAAATAACATATTTAGAACCAAAATTAAAAGATTTTGTTAAATAAATCAATATTCCATAATTACGTAGTGCAGCATATGAGAGAAGTCTGACTTATGAAATAGCTATTAATAGTATGGAGCCATTTCATAGAAAAACAAAAATGAAGTTTACAACTTTGGACCGGGGGGAAGGGAGCGTTGCATATTTTTCAAATCTCCTGAAGCAAAAACCTAATGACTTCTCTGACCTGATATTAATTAATGCCGCTCAAAATAAAATGTAGTGGTTGATAATTCGCCACCACCAGGATTTAGCTATTGGGTTCTCATCTTTCCAGTCACCCTTTAAAGGGGAATGTTATGTATTTTCTCTCTCCTTGCAGCATGCTCTTCTTCGCTTTCATAATTCCTGCTTGCCTTCATGGTGTAACTGGAAGCATGTCCGACTAGCACCATAAGGTTTGGATGCACGATAAGGTGCGTCCGAGATAAAAATTATTATATTGCGCATTTTTACGTTTACTGTTCCGAAATAAAAATTTAACGACATATCTAACGCAATTTGTTTGGAAGTCAGTCCAATTTTATTAACACTTTGTTGTCACAGCTAATAATAGCAAATGATTTTATAGTTCTTTATATAGTACTTTTTATTACCTGATACGTTTTAATGGCTGTTTCGACTTTTAATTTTGTAGAAAATGTTTTATAGTTTGCTAAAATATGTGAGCGGAAATTTATGTTCACTGAAACAAAATTAGTTTTATTTAATAGGTCAACATATTTAATAGCGTTTCCTCAATTCCGGATAGCTGTTGATAAAATAGTTATAAGAAAAGACTTTATTTGAAAGCAAAATACTTCTAGTGTTTGTTCTATCTGAATATATATCCATTTTTAGCGACATTGGTGTTTTAGCAAGACTTATAAAGAATCAGCTGTATCCTATCCGAGATTTGAGCTCCGGATATTTCCGACTGCTAGTCGTACGTATAACTAGTTAAATACGACAGCAAGTATGGGTGAGGCAATAATTCGCTATACTTTCAATGAATTTTATTGTAGCGCAGTTGGTTCTTCCATTATTTCTATAATTCCTCTGCGTCATTGTCTACTGATTTATCGTTTACCTGAACAAATGATATTAAAAGCATTTATAGATTCTGTAGAAAAAAGAACTATATATAAACCATTTTGCAAAATAGGATCGTGGGATCTGAACAGAGATTAATACTACATTGGAGTATCTGAAGGATCCATTTTTAGGGTACTGACAGTGCATTTATAATGACATCTTTAACAAATTAACATATGTGGGTTGCCAAAACAATTTCAACCTGAAAGCTTCACATAACAGTTTAATACCTTAAGAACTTACCTTTAACGTTTCAATAAGCTAGAAACTAAAAATAGAAAAATCTATATGGTTGCAAATAAACTGCAATCTGATTTTAGCATGCAACCTTCAGTTTTTCACCTGAAACAATTTTAAGCTAAGTGGTTACAATCAGCCTACTAGTTAGAGAATTAATCATTAGATAGTGCAAAAACCTTTTACTTAAACGCAGCTGTTCAAAATGAAAAAAAAATCAAGTGGTAGAAATAAATTTACTATGTTACAACTTTATCGTAAATTAACACTACTAAGAGACTTGTACACTTATTTAATATAGGAAAGAGTGATTTATACAAAACCCAGCTGGGCTTTTATTTCATTGGATAGCTTGTGTACGAGACTTTCAGCAAATAATTTCAGTGGTAATACTTTCTAATATGCTAGGACTTGAAATTCGTGAACAGAAAATAATAAACAGCTCAATATTACTTCCTTCGAGAGGTTTAGAAAATAATTCAGTTCAGATTAAAACAATAACTAAATCAAACATAATCTTACAGTCCATAGGCTTGTCATCCTTGTTTTCTTTCTCTTTCTCCTTTTCTTTTTCTTTTGGTTCCTTCTCTTTTTTGGACGTAAGTGGCATACTGGAAGAGATAGAGTCACTCTTTACAAGCTAATCTCACTTCTGAAAAATGACTTCTGAAATCTTTTAAGAGGTCCACTTCATCTCTGAAAGCTGAAGAATAACGAGCACCTCAGACCTTCACATCATCTACTATTCAATTCAGTGCATGTAAGTCGCAAAAATCTGCAATCAGAGAAAACACATATTACCAAAGGGACATATTATACTGCAAAAAACAGTGCATTTCTCTGAGACGATCTCTTGTAATTTTAGATGATTTTTATTATCTGAGATGTTGATCGTCTTAGAGAGGTGATATTCTTTGACGTTGCTTGTTTACTGTCTCAGAAGTACTGGTCACATTTAGAAGGAGTTCTCTTACGGATACGGTTATCAGCAGTGGAGGCCATTGAATATAGAATTTATCGCGATTAAAATACCGATTTTCCCTATTTACATGCACATTTAATAATAGACATGGTGTATTAGTCATTCATTGTTATTTATATTATTTATGATATTTAATTGATGTCATGGGCATCAAATATTTTAAGAAATGGTATTCAGTTGTACATAAGTCATGATGTAGAGTTCTAGTCTGAGCCTAAACGTATCTTAAAATTTTCAAACTACTCAATTGCTAAAAACCTATTGATGATTGGCGAATTTCTGCCTATGCCCTAAGAGTGGTTTTACTGGTATAACAATCATTCAACTTTTAAAACATATGAAACTACTTTTATTGGTATATGCGTTTTTGGTAAGATCTTGCATGTAAAACAAAAAGTCAAAATCCAAGGTCCTTTACATTTAATAGGCTTAAATTAATTTAACGATATTTTTCTTAAGTAACATGCCTTCTGTGAATTTCCTCAACCAGGACACTAAATTCGACATATCCAAACTTAAAACGTGCAGGAAACTTTTATCATCCCTAACTAACAAGTAACAGGGTAAAATTTTTTCCAGCTATCTAATAGGTGTATTTGCAAAACTTTTGGCTTTATCTGATGTTTACTATTCTGCTAAACTGCATTTGCTATAAGGAAATGCAGAAGATTTCAGAAGAAGCGAGAAATGCAAATGATAAAAAACAAAAGTAATTAATTTAAAACCTCTCAAGGAGCATATAGATTCAGTATTAGTATTACTTTAAGTGCCATGGGATCTGGTTGTTTACTCTGTAAATTATTCTAATAATTCCCGAACTAGTAACTAAATTTAAAGTTTTAATCATTAGCGTATGTTTTGAAAATGACCGAGGAATTTCATCTATGTCATTAGCTACTGCACCGATTTTTTTTAACGTTACACAAGATCCGTTTTCATCAGACACTTTTATCACTTTCGAAAATGCGTCATTTCTGTTTTGCAGATACAACGAGAGCATATCTCAGATAGCTTCTATGTTTGCTTCTTGCATACACCCATGAAAATACAGCATGTCCATAACTGACGTACACAGATTCGTCGTCAGGTAACATGAAAAATACAATTTTATTCTTTTCACAAGAAAGGAAATGGCAATTGTCTGAGTTTGACAACTATGCCTTAGTTTCGGATTACTACAAGTAGCGGCACTAGTGGGTCGAGTAAACAAAAATGACGTCACCGTAATGGTACCTATTATCAAAAATTCAATCTTTTTCTATGAAGCTATATCAAGAATATGGTCTACTAGACTAAAGTTACGTATGTTGATGACATTTTGAGCACGTATTACTGCACCCTTTGAATACAACCGAAGCACATTCTTCAGCACACATAGCAGAAACTAAAATATCGTTTGGACATTCTACGCACAACTAATTTTGCGGGTGCCTAAACGATGTGAATATCAGTGTGTGGAGACATATATTGATGCTATACAAAATATGGACAATATGTCTGTCTGTATAAAATAAAAGTTTTTTGCTGTACTGTGTAGTTCAGTTTTACAAGCAGTTTCAAATTCTACACATTATTTAAGAATACTTGTACCTTTCAGCCTTTTAAATAGCTCTATTTTTCGGAGAGATTTTCACACAAAATTTGCAAGCCCTTCTGTTAATTTAGTTCTTTTATTAGCCGTTTTGTTCAAATGATCACAAGAAAGAATCAAAGGATTCCGTTACGTGAGGCAACTTCAAGTTTAGATAACCGTATCTAAGTGTCTCAAACATTTTCCTATTCTTCGGATTTTAGGTACATTTTCACTAAAGGTTGAGCGTACTGCCTCGACAGATTGTGCCCCAATTTTAAAGCACAAAGCAAATAATCAAGTCACATTTTCACATATCAAACAATATGCTTTATCAAACACGTTGAAGAGAAGCCACACGCCACTTGGAAAGACAGAAACTTGGATTCTTATGAATGGGATACGAACAGTTTGTCGCGGAATATTTGCATGATGATGAAACGTTTTGACTCAAAAATTAAAATACCGCAGAAAAGACAGAGTCTTTCTTTCGAACGTAATGTATAAAAATTATAAAGAATTCATAAAATACAGTTCAAAGACAGCAGTTTTATAAGGAGCTGTATCAAGTCTGAACAATGATTAGTTTCCTTTACTGAATACATTCTATCGAAATTAATAGCAATAGAAACAAACTGAAAGTTGTAAATACCTTATGTGTAAGGGAAGAAAAAAGATTGATAATGCTAGAAGTTAAACATTAATCCAGTATTAATTATTTAATAAAACTCTTGAAAGTTGTACGCATGATTTTTTTTATTCTATTGGCATCTTTAAAAATTTAATATGCTTATATATTTCTCCTTTAAGAGAAACAAATTGATAGATTCCTGGCTAGGAAATGATTGGTTTTAGCTAAAATTATTTATATTATTTCCTACTATCATTTGTATTACAGTGATAATTTCTAGTTGAATTGGAATTCGTTGGATTTTCTTTAAATAATGACTTCATATGTGTCACTGATTGCCAAGAAATGACAACTAATTTATTTAAAATTCATACTTAGCGTTGTTCTGTTTTATTGTTAAACGTTGTAACGTATTTTAAGTATTTATCAAAAATAAATAAAGATATTATATACATGCATTTTCTGGTTAGACAGCATTATTACAACAATTAAGGTTTTATTCTATAGCCAGAATAATTACATAAATTTGGAAGACTTTAAATAATTTAATAAGATAAAAGCTTGATTGATAGCACAATAAAAGTCCAGAATTTTGTGACAATTAATAAACAGAGAAAAAACTTTAAGAACAATAAAATACTTCTTGTTTATCTTTCATAGAAATAAAAAATAGTACTAAAAGTAAAAGTTTATTTAATTCATAATAATGATTACGCTATTAATGAATAATACATCAGGAAGTTTAAACTAGCTTTTTTTCTTGAAATAATGACACTGAGTTAAAATAATGATAATAACTTGAAATTTCCAAACACTGGAAGTACAGTATTTTATAATTAATTTATTACTCCTCGCATAGTTCGAGACAGAATCCTACTTATCCAAATTGTTGTGTAATTTGTTAATTTTGTCGCATTCGCAATATTGTGGTTAGCAAGGCTGACTTTTAATTCGAAATGCAAAGTACTTTTAATTCGAAATGCAAAGTTCATCGTAAAGCTTAGTTATTTATATGTTATTTCTCCCCACTTGTTTCGGGTGTAATGCGGGTCTATTCTCTGTGGTTGCACTGTGGGCAATATTCTCAGCGAGGAAATAGCGAAATGATCGACGGGTCCTTCCTGACATTCCTGACAAATGCTTTAGAAGTAAATGTGTAAGGTATTTCTACTTTCTATCAGCATGCCTTAGTGATGCAATTGGAAGCATAGTCGACGTGTATCCGAGAAGTCCAGGGTTTGAGTCCTGCGAGGGTAGTGTATATTTTTCGCCTCTCCTGCTTCATACAGCCCTAATGAATCTACAAATGATCGGCCAATTGAGAGAAAAAATTCTTACTTTTATAAATATATAAATAATAAGTAGAGTTTACTTGTAGAAGTTCAAAACTTTTCACAAACGTTTATAATTAATTACGTTACTCTTCCATTTAGAATCGTCATATTTTCATTTGCATTTTCTGCCACTTCATTTGCAATATAAATAGTTATTCGTATTTCTCCCGCATTCAAACAAATGTAAGACAACGAATGTTTGCTTAAAAGTGTGCCTTCAAAGATCAAAGAATAAAGAAAAAGAGTTATCTAATTGCTCGTTAACAGTATTACAACTAGATGATAACATTTTGCATAAATTAGATTGGCGGCAGCAGTTCTTCTATTCTAATTTTATTGCTACCTTCTGGCAGTACATTTTTTACTGATGAATTTTTCATGCTTACTTAAGTGAGTGTATTCACTTTTCTATTTTCTCCAAATATTAATTAAATTTGTATTGCCTAAGTCAATTGTTTTTATCATTTCCCCTGTTTTTCCCTTTTTTATCCCGTACAGAATATCATTTTCCTTGACTAGTTTTAATTCAAAAAGATCAGTTCCGTATTATATTTCAGTGACACTGGAAATAATTTTTTTTTAGTATAAAGATATACCTTGCACAAAAAAATGAGACAGTTCTATTTCTCCCGTTGTACTCGGCCGATTAACGATAACTTTCGTTTTTCATGTCTCGTAAGCGCAAATTAGGATACATTAGATTTATGTATAGCATTGTTATAACATAGATATTTTGACAGAAAATCCGACTTTTTCTAAAATTTCATGGTTTTCAATTTTACGATTCAAATTTTGCCCCAATATTAAATTTTGTAAAAATTGGTCAGGAATTTACCGAGAAATTAAAAAAATATGTTGGTGTACTTTTTCAAGTTGACCCAAGAATGGGGAAATTTATAGCACCGTATTTTACTTCCTCCCTTTATTTTGTGCACAAGCGGAGGGGGGGTAGTTATACTGCCTTGAAGTTGGAAAGGATTGGATTTCTGAAACTGACCATTTATGGGAGGACATCCCTGTTCGATCTGGACCTTCTGAGAGTGGATGCAGCTGCCGGGACTATGACGCGCATCACAGAGCCTCTCTTGTCCCCGTTCGACCTAGGCCTCCTTGTGGCCCTTGCTGGCAACTAGGTTCGCCTGGTCTGATTATGTCGAATACCATCCCTCGGTTTCGACTGGGTTGGAATTTCCAGAACCGACTATTTTATGGGAGGAGACCCGGATTCTGTCCAGCAAACTGGCTAATCAAATGTCTAGACGTCTGGGGTAAATATTCAGTCTTCACAGAACTAGAACCATCGTTTATTCGGTGGTAGGTTCAGGCTTGAAGGGGACCGTATTAGTACTGTCTTGCCTGCCCCTTGGATGTGGGGACGTTACATTGTCATATATCGCAGGGTGTCCCTCGGTCAACACATGGAGCTAAGAAAAGACCTTACTTCCTACCTCCATGGATGAACAAAACTGTGTAGATATGTGAAGTCAGTCTGGAAGTAGGTACTTTCTTACTTCCATGGGTGGCCGAAGGGAGTGGCACCCTCTAGGATGGCCTCTGGAGGTTGGAGCTATTAATCTATGTGAGGCAGTTTTCTTACTCGCCAAGTAATGGAGCCCCCTCCCTCCTCCTTCGGTGTTCTGTGCACGAGCGGAAAATAAGGTGCATCGTCCTGACTTTCAAATAATTTTAATAAAGTGCGCAAAGTCTATTTGACATTATTATTGCTTACAACAAATATTCCAAATTTCAGAAAGCGCCAATATATAAATTCACCTCTGGAATTATGAATAAAAAACTGTAAAATTTTGCGGATATGCCTAGAAGTACATCTACTTAAGATTACGGTAAAAATTTGACAGGTTATAAAAGAATTTTTTTTCAAAAAAGTTATAAAAATTAGGAAAAAGTACAAACTTTAAAAACAAATCAGAAAATAGCTGCGAAATTTATTTGGATTGAAATTTCGAACTGTGAATAAAGGAATCAAGTAAGTTTAGTAAAAAAAAAGAGAGATTCATTAATATATACTAGTTCAATTAGCACTGAGGAGCTAAAATTTTGAAAGCTAACTTTTAAGAACTACTCATGCGATTTTTACAAAACTTGGCATTTTAGCATAATTTTAGTCGTAGAATCGAAATACGGCAAAAATAGGTATATCATTTCAGAAAAGTTCGATTTTGTGTCAAAATATCTAAATTAGAACAATGTTATGCACTATAATCAACGTAAAGTGTAGCTTTAGGATATGAAATGAAAAATATGAAAGACATGAAAAACATAATTTCGTCAATCGACCCAGTAGAACGGGAGATATACAACTGCCCTTTTTTGTTCAGGGTGTACATATTTCTGCAAGGTGCATAACTTATTATTAAGTTTATTATAATTATGTGCGTAATAAAAATGACTTATTTATATAGTTATTAATATATGCATTTTTTATTTAACAAATAAATTCAGCACATGTTTCTTATTATTATCGGTGCAATTACATAATACCCATGTTAATATTTTCCTGCCCTTTAGGGTCACACAATTTCATACCTGGCGTATCTAGTTAAAGTCAACTAATCTAGTCTTATAAATCCCCACTGAAACCATAAAATTCTTCTCCAACCGTAGTGAATCTCTCGCAATTTTCTTCTTGCAAACAGCGAATGGGGATCTGTTGATCGTTTTTAATCTGACACCTTCAAAAGAAAAAGGAATTAAAATTTGACGTTTTTCTCTATAAAGATACAATAAAGTGGAAGTTTTAATTAAAAGAGCCCTTTGTAAGTTAAACCAAGTAATAAACATAACTCAATAAATTAATTAAGCATTTCAACATTTAATAAAATTTTATTTCAATGTTAATCAATTTCCTAGCAAAATGAAAACTATTTTTTACAAAGGTAAAAAAAAAGGGAGGGTGGGGTGGATTTATATCAGATTTTTATATACTCTTTTGAAAACAAAATCGAAGCACCAAGAAGGGCTTTAGTGATCGCGACGAAATTTGGTATGCAAAAACATCTTGATCGAACATGCAAATGATCAAAGTTTCAAGGCAAATATGAACAGGAGTTGCGATCATAGGGCGCATTTCTAGTGCGCAATTCGCAAAGTATACAACCAGTAACAGAGGATGAAAATTTATCTTTTTTTCGTTGCTGCCATTGTAATTCCGTAAAGAAGCAACTAAAGATGCCATTACGACGATATCGAAGACCTTACAGACAACTAAACGACTTCGAACGTGGTCGCATTGTAGGGCTGCGTGAAGCTGGGTGGTCATACCAAGCAATAGGCCGCCATCTGCAGTGTACAGACACAGCTGTGCAAAGATGTTGGCAGTAATGGTTGCTACAAGTAAATTGCTGACGAAATGAAGGCATTGGAAGGCCAAGGAGCACAAATACGAGGTAAGATATGATGATTGTTCGCCAGGCTCAAACCCACCAACGGTATCATTGTCGGCTATTCAACGCACTACAGCCACGTCTATACCTCCCGTGGTACCGTCCACCATCTCACGGCGCTTGTCTGAGGCGGGGTTTCATTCAAAGAGGCCTTTTAGACGTTTGCCTTTGACACCACAACATCGGCGGAGTCGTCTGGAGTGGTGTCCCAGCCGATCATCGTGGCTAATCATCATTGGGTAATTTCTCAAACACGGGAAAAATTCTAAACAAGTCAAACACTTGTCTGAAGACCTACGCCCTGCCGACGAAGGGTTACCATCTCTTCTGAAGATAGGTTTATTGCCAAAGTAGCGAAACGGAAGCAAAGAAGTGATGTCCACAACTGTTATGTCCATGGCTGCAGCGTATTAAGACAATATCTGCCAGTACTGTGCTCCGAAGCTTTCACATGAAGGGATTCTACTATCAAGTGCTAAGTATTTATGTTCTACTGACTGCCAAGTTCAGAGGGGCAAAATTAAAGTGGTGTCGTCAGATCTCATTTGACTGTCTCAAATTAACACAATGTCCTATTCATTTGCCTTGGAATCAGTTGATATGCGCATAAAGGTTTAGAGAGAACAAGGCACACGGATTCAGGTTCAGAATATCCTTAATTCAGATGTGGCAGCTAGCTGGAGTTTCAGTCGGATATGGCACTCAGCTGCAAATCATTAAAGATGGTTCTGTATCAACTGCGCCGCAACGGGATGAAGTACTACATTGCGAGATTCTACACAGCAGCAGTTAATCCTGTTTCCCCTTGCGAATGATAATAGTCATCCCCATATAGCCAATATCATTAACAAATATCTGGGGTGTGATAGCATTTCTCGTATGGACTGAATGCCGTATTCCCTCGATCTTAATCCCGTTGAAAATCTTTGGGATGCCCTAGGGTGTGTTGTCTCTGCATATTTATCTCCTTCAGACAATTCCAGACAGTTGAAAACTTACCTAATGAAAGCATGATTATTGATAACATTTGTGATGGTTAATCACCTCACTGAAAGTATGGACAATCGCTATACAGCTTGTGTGAAGATCCTGGATATTGACATATTTTATTTAAGTTTTGTTTGTTTGTTTTTAGCTTTGAACGGCAATTTATTAAATACCCAATGTGACGTCGTCATATATTTAATAAGAATTAAATAATGCTGACTTTTTTGATGTATAAACGCATCTGCTATCCTCATGTGCAATTCAGTGTAAATCAAATCTTGACTTTTCCTGTTTTGTTGATTTTGCCGTTTCGTTTTAAACATTCGGAAACGAGTGTATCACATTCTACCGTACGTGCTATTATTGGAGTAGCATATCCAGGTAACAGCAGATTTGCGGCTTGAATCGCAGAGGGAGCCATCGTTCATATATGATGCTCCTTAGTTTCGAAAAGTCTAACCATCTTCTAAAGTCGTTATATATTTGCTGGAAAATTTATGAAGAATAATTACTTTCAAAAGCAATTTTTTTAAAATCGTTTAAATGGATATTTCTAGAATTGAAAGCAGCGTCGCTGATTTTCATTTTCTGTATCGTATAATTAATGTAGCAGAATCATTTTTCTTTTTTCTGTAATCTCCAGTAATAATTTTAAACAAAAGAAAATGATTAGTTTCAAAGGATAGCGTAAAAAGAATTCGCTTAAGCGAAGAAATAAGAATTTTCCATGTTTTGAGAATTTGTGGAAAACAATGGTTTGCTTGTTTGACTAGCCCAAGAAAACTTTTTATCATAGGATAAAAGAAACATGAGACTTAGAAATATTGATCAAAAGAAACATAGAATGCGCATTTCCTTGTAACTTACCTTTTCAAAAACTACTTAAAAAGAGATTATATATTCGGTTTTTGAAGCATGCAGGAGACAGCTTGAGCTACAATTTGATTTCCTATGCTAAAATGAGCTATTTTTTTAAAAGATTCGTCAAAGTGGTTTTCTTATTCACTTATTGTTATCATGTTTTAGAGTATTGTTTTCTTAATTTTTGAATTTGAGAAAAAAGAGTTTTTAACACCGGAAAAAGCAAAATTTCAAACATTATATTTATAGGAAATAAATACTTCATATTTTAGTTTCGTTAAAAATAATTTGAATGCAAAGTAACTATATGTATACTGTAAGACGATTTAGCATTATAATTAAGAATCTGCAATTTTGTTTTAATTGCATCAATAAAAAAGTGGAAAAAAAATTAAAACGATTCCTGACTTTAAAAATTATCTGCCGCTTAACAGTACTAAGTAATTACTAACTGCCACTCTCCAGGGGAATAAAAGGAATGATTCGTTAAGAAATTTCACGCATACATATTTTTTAAATGTCAGGAATATTTAATTAATGTTTTGTAAATGTTTTTCTTTCACTAAAAATACCTCTTTATTATATTCAAAATGAGCAATTAACCATACAAAATCAATGCATTGCACTGTTCGACGGGGGATATATTTTAACTTATTTTAATCCATATCAAGAAGCTATTGCCAATATGGTACCATCTGACTACATTCTACTAAAAGAAAACATTCTTAACATTTTACGAAGAGTAATTTATACATATACTTTGTTGCTTTGTTCTGCTTTTCGATTAATTTTCGTAGAATTTGCTTATCTACTAAATTTGGTTACTAGTCCAATGCTAGCATGTTTTGAAATCTAACAATTTTCGATTTTACAGTGCATTTAGCATGTGAAAAATACTCCTCATAAAAATTTTAATTACTAAAAGCTTTGTATTGCATGGATGGTCATACTTTAATTTTTATCATATATCATGTGCATTTTTAAAAGAATATTTTTCGCCTGCCAGCAGAATTTCATGCAAGATTTTACCTTTAGACAGACCTTTCTACTGTGTTTTTGGTGAAGGAATCATCGTGTGTTTTAAAGAGTGGTTCTCACAAAGGATATATGACAGTAATCGCCTTGAAACAATGTTATAAAGTATTTTCTCCCTCCTTTCTGCATGCCTTCGTGGTGTAACTGGAAGCACATTCGAAACGTATTCGAGAAGTTCAGGGTTCAAGTCCCGGGAAGGACATTTTTACAGGAACATTTTTCACGTCACCTGCTTCAAAAAAACTAATGGTTATAGTAATGCCCAAACTAAAAGGTAGTAGACGACAACTCGTCGCTACCAGGATTTGGCGATTGTGTCCTCTCATCGCAGTCGCTCTTTAAAGGTGGAAGTATATAATGTATTTTCTGCCTCTTTACTGCATATCTGTAACTGGAAGCACACTCAACGCCTATTCGAGAGGTCAGGGTTCAAATCTCTGCAAGGGTACTGCACATTTTTGAAGTCTCTTGCTTCAAAAAACCCTAATGCCTAAGTGCCTAAGTTCAAAAATGCCTAAGTTCAAAAAACCCTAAACCTTCTAAAAACCCTAAGTGAACATTTGATCTTCTGCTCTTACGTGTTTTCTCTTTGTTCTTCGTTCTTACGTTCTTTCTTACGCACGTTACTTTGTAAAAATCGTAGTAGAATTGTAAATTCTGCCGATTTTTTCAAGAGCTAGGATGGGGTGCTTATCTTGTTTCAAGGAATTTACTGATATACTACCTTTGTTAGAACCAACCTTTATGAAGAATTGCAATATAATAAGTTTTGTATAACTACGGTCCAGATTTTGCAGAAAAATTGTCTTTCGCAATATCACTAACAGTAAATTTTTGTCTTACATGCTATGTCATTCACACCCTCCCCCTAAAAAAATTCTAATCTGAAGAATATTTACACATAGTTATGAATAATTTTATTACCTAGATTTGAAGAACTTTTATTTTACTTCTTGATGAAGTGATAAAAATCGCTGAGAAATGATAATAAACCCATCTTCAATTCTCAGAGGAAGAGATTTAATGAATAGAAATTTTGTTACCTTCTTTCTTTTTAATAAAAACACTGTTCAGCAAAATCAATGAAGCATGAGATTTTTGGGGAAAATACAACTGCTGGTAAATAACTGCGCAATATAAATACATATTTGAAAGGGTCGAAAAAAAGGATTGGAGAGTTAAAGGATTATTTTACAAGAAACTGACCTCATACGATAAAAAGTCAGTACTTCCATACCTTATAAAGGAAGAAAATAAACATTAACAATCTTTATCAACTGTCTAGTCGCTACCTCGAATTTGCAAAACAGCTTCTCACCTATAAGGAAAGCGGTCGATGAGAATTAGGAGGATTCCGTCCCTTTCTTGAAGAAGGGAATTTTCCAGGTGAAAATGCATCAATG